CACAAGAGAAAACCATCATCAGCTTCCAAAAAGGTAACATCAGAAAATATGAAAATACACCGTTTATCAAATTTCACAAAAACAGATCTCCTGGTATGCTACTAAAAATAGAAGTATCTCAGAGACTTCTAATGGAGACTCATCTTATGTATACATTGTGTGGCGGGAGAGCATAGAGAACATTGTAAAGGGTAAAATGCAGGAGACAAGGGAATTCAACATTGCTATGGGCTTTTTAATGATCAAGTGCAAATCTTCTGCCTGGAACTGTGCAAAAGGGCTGAGATTTTAAGTATATTCATCTTTGTATTGATGAGTGCCCACATCTTCAAAATCTAATCTATATCTACTTACGTTCTTCTTTTCTTATTGAACTTAATCTTAGACTATATATGAATCATCCTCAAGGAATTGCTACATTATGTAAAGCTGGTAGGGGTTTTCTGCAAATGGGAGATGATGATGCTTTCCCCTTACTTTTCTATTAAGTTTACATAAGCCAAAGATAACCCGGGTGGATTTTGTTTAAAATCAAGTACTCTTCCTGTCCCCCCTTGACAAGAACACATGTATCTTTTCGTTTTCTGTGCCAACATTAGTGACGCTTTCACTCTGCTGACTGTCCGATCTTGAAATCCCTGACTCTTTGAACTTCTGCCTTTCGCTCCTTCAGCTTCTGCATCTAATTAACTGGGAAGTCCTGCTAGTTCTCCCTCCGCACTGTGAGCTCACACCTGCTGCTTCTTTAAGAGTGCTTCCAACATTATCACCTCCCCTAGGAAGCTCTGCTGAGTCCCAAGCCCAGCTGGCTCCTCTCCTTCATGTTTCCAACAGTACTTCCTGGACACCCATTTTATCACGGAACTTGCCATGTTCTGTTGTAATTACTGCCAGTTATATGCTGCCAAGGCTGTGGTTCTCAAATTCCACCACATATTAGAATCATCAACAATCAAAAACCAACTGAGGCAGAATCTCTGGGGAGGTGAGACCAGGGCCAAGGCATTTTTCAAAGCCACGCTCTTCAGATGTTAATATGCATACAATTCACTGGGGGATCTTGTTGAAATGTAGAGTATGATTCAGTAGACCTCAGGTGGGGCCCAAGATTCTGCATTTCTAACAAGCTCCCAGGTGACACAGATGCTGCTTATGCTAAATCAGCTAAAATTTGCCCCAGATGGTCAGGTATTTTAGAAAAACAATCAGATTCCTTATCTGTATCTGTATGTATATCTGTTTCTTAAGCCTACAAACTCTTACCCAATACAGGACAATGCCTTCCTTCTGTTACCTGCTCCTGTCGCCACCATTTTTAGGTGAGTAGAGGTGAGAATTTTCTCATAAATCAGAATCTGGATTGTCAATATTTCAATAGAATCGGCCTTCCCCACTCGTATTCACAGTAAGCGTATGCCTCCACCCTTCCCTCGCCCTGCCATGTCACGTTTCTGTGTTCATCTTCCTGCTGCAGGACACAGTGAAATGCTGGGTAGCGTTCAGAAGGCTAGAGGAGAGAGGTCTCGTCACCTTGGCTTGTGTTCCAAGTTTTAAGTGTGATCTTGTCTCTTCACTTCATTGTTAGCCCAGCCTCAGGAGTCTGTCTTCCGCTACTTCTCAGGTGCACTTGTGACCCTCCCTCTTTTCTCCTTCGACTCCTGACAGCCCTCCGTTTCCACCCGTTCTCAGATTTTCCTCACTCCACCACCATCACTGTCATCCCTAGACTTACCACAAATCATGGAAACCAATGAACACAAATAGAAACAGATGCTTATATTGTAAAAACTTCTTTCTTCCACTTGAAGTGCTACTTGCTCAGACACATTACTTTTCTTCTGTTAATGCTTCTGTCCTTTACAAGTACAGATCAATTTTTTTGTTTCAGGCCCCAAGGACAGACTCTAAGTAATTGTTATTTAATTAGGCTAATAGCACGATTTAAGGTTCTATTGGCCTTTGCACACCTTTAAGTGCTGAGCTAGCTGCAGTCCAGTGCTTTCCAGAGTACATACTGAGGCATCCCGGGGAACCCACCCTAGTGCCAGGAAGTATTTTTTAAATTTCGAGGGAAATACAGCAACACTTGGGCTCAGTCAGACGCCTTGTGAATTACTAGTTCAGGGTAGTTCACAGTTTCAACAGTAGGTGGTGCTACACTCCTTTTGATGATGTCATATGTCAAGCTGGACTCCCCATAGTACCTGTGATAAGTGAGTACAGAGCAAAATCAATGTGGAAAGGAAATAAGGGGCAGTGTCTAATCTTAGAAGTTGCGCAGATCCCAGTAGATGCCCACATTCTGTAAGTAAGAAACTGTGGTTATTTAAGAATAAAATTAAAATATTTTTTCTATTGCTATGTATTTTTTTCAAAGAGCTACTTACTGGTTAGAACATAAATAGCTATTAAGGTTTTTGGATCTGTTTCTTGGGTCCTAAGCATACTGTGAAAACAATTCTTGAGATAATAAGGGCACTGCGAACCAAGAATGTTTTGGAACCTCTGCTATTATCTAATCTTATTTTTTCTCTTTTTTTTTTCCCCAAAAGTTTCTGAACCTTGGGGATCCAGATCCCCACATCAGGTGTATGTTTTGTTCCAGATCTATTTAAAAGTGGACCAACTTGTTGATCAACAAGAGGAACAAACTTTTTTTTTGGTCTATTTTTAACTGTGGTAAAAACATATTATACTCAAATCCTTTCGCATGTTGATAAAATATAACCCCAAAGATATATTTGGGGAAATGCCCTATTAACTGAGGAAGAACATCTCTTAAACAAATCCATCGTAGGAATGTGGGGTTCACGACAACTTCAGTGATTACCCTTGCCTTTTTTTTTTTTTCAACAGATAATCTCTTATGTGTCACACCTTCAAGGAGGTGGGGATGAGGTAGGGAAATATGTCTAGCTACCAATAAAATATCCACCTCCAACTGGTTAAACTGAAGCTCTGATTGGGAAGGGATTTTGCCACCATCCTTTACATTTTCCACCCACTGAGAGATCCTGTAATTACTTCATTTTACTTTTGCAATGATACAGAAATCAATACTCCGCTTCAATGCATTACAGATAGATTATTATTAATAGAGCATATACAATGGATTTTCTCACCAATAATAAGAACATCTTTATGCACCTACTATGTGCCAGTCCTTGGTTCTTGTCTCACTTTAATTCCATGAGGTAGGCACTGCTGCCTGAATTTTCTAGATGAAGAAACTAAAGCCTGGGATGGTTAACAACCTGCCTTGGGCCACACAAATGGCAGGGCAGCAAAGCGGCTTCAGATCTGCTTGAGTCCACAGCTCGAAACTTTACCCCATGGCAATATTACCTCTCACAATTATCATGGTAAAACTGAATCCCATGTGGTTTTATCCATTTCTGCTGCTAGCATCCTGATATATCCTAGCCTTTCTTTAAGAACACGTGGTAGTTTTGATATAAAATGGCATCACAATTTTAGAAGAAAAAGCAGAAAGGAAAAAAAGGGAATCAATTATTTAGTCAAAGCATTTAAAACAATTTAATCTATGACAATAATGTTATTTGTATTGTAGAAAGTGCTTTAAAGATTGTAAGATGATTATTATTATTTACAACCATTACTCTATTAATGTAGTGCCTGCTCATCAAATTTCACAAGGAAATGGAGTAAAGTACAAGTAAGTGGACTGTCTTTCTTCAGCAGTCACATAGCATGTGATTTTCACATCAAATATAAGGCTAAACCCTTGGGGATCTGTGTTGATGTTCACCCCTTCACTGAATACTTCCTCTCCTACTTTTTTCCACATTAATAATTCATTCGCTGGAACAATGCCTGGTTACCTCAGCCCAAGCCATGGATGGCTTTCCTTCATTTATAGTGGTAAATACTTCAAGAGAATATTCGCACCTTCCTATTTAGGGATATTTGATAACAGATTGAAATGTGAACATGCAGCCCTTGGAATCTGCAAAATTTATGCTATTCGCATGATATCCTGATATAGTCATTTCAAAATCATAGCTGTAATCATAAACAAAGACATTTTATCTTTTCTATTATGTTCATTCCCTATATAAAGGGTTTGTGACAATTACTTTTCTTATCAATACCATATTATGAAACACAGAACCTAAAAAGTACAAATCCGTGTTTCTATTTTTTTCCCCATCGTTGCAGTATGCAGATACTCTGCAACAAGAATGTAGCTGATGATAAAATTTCAGTGAAACGCATGATGACAGTATAACTGAGCTGTTTCCCTGACTCAGCTCCAGTAATCTCTAAGGGCTATCATAAGTGATCCACCTCATTCAACTTTCTAGAGTCAATAAAATGGTCAGATGATATTTGGAAATAGCACCTCTACATAACCATTTTTCTCTCTTGTGAACCTTGCCACAATTAAATCACAAGCTTTTGAAATGCCTGGCTCTTGCCAATTATTTGAGACAAGACAAACTCGACAGCAGCCGCAACCAAATCTGAGGCATTAGTAGGTTTTGAGGACCAAGGACTCCATTTGGGCATGGAAAGGACGACACAGTCGGGGAGCTGTGTTAAGAAGTAGTTAATTTGAACCTGGCCAAAGGACTGATGCTCAGAATGTTTGCTTTCAGAATGAGAAAAAGGAACCTTCCTTCCCTTACAGCTTAATCGCTCTATTCCTATTTTTAATACATCCTGGTTTGTAGAATAGCTGGACCACATTTTTCAAGCTAAAGTAAAAATTAAAGGATTTATGATAATCCTAGGTGGGTGGTTGTGGGCGTTTCTTTTTCAACGGAAGCATTTCTTTCTTTGTTGCATTGCTAACATTTCTCAGCTTCTTGCTACAGTCTTCTTCCCAAAACTACTCAAGTGAAAAAAAAAAGTCTTACCAGATAAGCAACAATTCTTACTGTATTGGGGGAATAGTTCACATCCTCCCCGTCTATTTATTAGAAGTAATTTCTTCAGGCTTTACAACCAGAACGTCAAAGCGCCCAATGGAATCCTACCTTGCCCACGTACTGATAATCGGATCCTGTATATTCCTCCAGGAGAAAGAACTGATTCCACATCCAGCTCCTTTTCGAACGGTTCAGCTCATTTTTGCTGTTTCCAGAGAGCTCCAGGGCCCTTTTCTTTGCCGGGAAACCACTAGTCCTCTTAGATAATGGGGTTGAGAAAGTTGGGTAGGGCTGACCAACCCAAAAGAGTAACAAGAAGTACCGGTAAGTTCTCATTCTGATAACACAGTCCAGTCTCTGGGTAGTGGGTACCCTGCTCCTTGAAGTGGCTTTTTTCACTGCACTGTTTCCAGCATCATTTCTCCTTTCTTCCTTAATGTTCTTTGCTTGGCTCTCAGAGGATATCTGGAAAGAATAATAACATATCAAACATTTTTAGAGATGTTTAAAATTCAGTGTTAGAGCAAATAAGCTCTGGAGAAAGAGGACAGAAATTTGGATAGCAAAACAACAAAAATAAGTTGGCTATCAATTTTGAAATGAGGAAAACGTTCTTTCAGATATGCTAAATGGAAGGCATGTGCCGAGTCGGAAGCTGCTATTTTCCCTTCTCCTTTTCTATCACTTAACAATCCTATTTTAAGTCATTGCGTTGCTGTAGGTCAACATGCCAGAGTGGATTATTTCACTACTCTTTTTTCCTCTCGAGTATGTGGGCTGAGATCTGGTTAGAAGGAACGAGTCTGTGTTTCGGATTCCATTTGCATATTTATCCTCATGAACAAGTCAGAGGCAAAGAATATCGCCCACAATTGCAGTTCGATTGAAAGTGGATAATGTTGATGTTTCACTAGAATGTACAGAGTACCTGTGATCATCAGCCTAAGTCAAGGCAGAGCCTGTTCAGACTCTTGGCTTCACAGATGTGTTGGGATACACGGGTCTGGGTCAAGCACAGTTGGAAAAGACCACACTTTGTCTTCTCTTCCGAGTGCATGCTAGCATATTGAAGTTTATGAAGTGAAATTTTGTAACAGTGATGCAAGCCTACATTTAATAAAGGGTTTCTCAAACTTGACTGGGAAGCTTTTTTCCCCTTATATGACCCAGTAACACTATAGGATGGGTGAATGAGCAACCTACAGAATTTATATATAACAGAATATAGGAATTAAATGAGCAATTTTATTTAAATTTCTGTAGGAAATCTTGGGCTTTCATCTCTAAATTTTACTTGTATCATAAGCAAGCAAGCATATGTATAAAAATTGGTCAATTTCTATATAATTTTCACAGGTGCATCAAATATATCTCAATATCAGAGTGAACGCAGTCGACTACAGGATCTCCAGAAAAGTCAGCTCTTATACTTGTGTATAATAATTTTGCAGGACAAATATTAATTTTCTTTTTTTTTTAAAGATTTTATTTATTTATTTGTCAGAGAGAGAGACAGAGCACAAGCAGGGGGAGTGGCGGGCAGAGGGAGAAGCAGGGAGCCCGATGCAGGACTCGATCCCAGGACCCTGGGATCATGACCCGAGCTGAAGGCAGGTGCTTAACCGACTGAGCCACCCAGGCGTCCCAAATATTAATTTTCAAGAACATAACCTCGCATTAAAAAATTCCTTGGGCCAGATTGTCTAGCAAAGATGTTACGATGTGGTTTACTATTTCACATAATTAGTCATACATACCTATATCTCCATCCCAAACTTTTCCACATTTCTTGAAAAAAAAATCCAACAAATCATTCCTTCACTGTACCATTCGATATGGGAAAAATATTTTCTTAAATAATACTAACAAAAATGAAGTGCTTTGTGATGTAGAATAGTAATTAACTTTGGTATGTTCACTAAATACATGCAGACAAAAGAAACATGTTTTAGGTAATCTGATCAGAATTTTTTTTTTCTTTATGTCAGAAAAATGTGTTCACTTGTTTCCTATTATTCTAGCAGGGAAATGTATATATGACCACTGTTCTGATTTTTTTTTTTTTACCCCAGCAACGAGTAATCATTGCCACCGAGCACATGATTTAATAAAAGCTTTCTATTGGAATATCAGTGAAATATTTCATAGTGTTCAGCATTTTTAAATCTTTATTCCATTCCTATGCATCTTCTTGACAGCAGGCTGGGGAAGTTGAAAATTCCACAGGTGAGTAAATTAGTACTGTGCCAATTAGTCATGCTGGAAAAACGCCAGGCAACCGTAACTTGTCATTAGGCGGCCTTGGTACAGGTGTGGAATAACTGATGCTCAGGCCATGACGAGTCTTCTCTTCTCGGGAATAGTATATAAAGGGGATTGAGGGCGCATATGGAGAAAAGCCCTCTAAAGACATCTGTTCATTTTTAGTAGCAGAGATTACATTGAGGTTGAGTCAGTAGAAATTACATTTTTCTTAATTTCTCATATTCTCTGTTATTTGCCTAGACAAATCCTGCAGTGAAGAATTATATGTCTGCTGCCGCACTCAGTGTGTGCCCCATGGTGCTGGCAGGAAAGAGGGATTCAGAGAATGGATGTGTCACCTGTTTAAAAGGCAGACTCCTAAAGACCATTTTTAAAGAAAAATTGATCCCTGTGGGCGTTGTGTGGAAACTCTACAAGCTGTTGCCACTTGAATATTAAATATTAGTTCTTTTTAATATCACAGATACCAAAATGTCAAGTATTTCCTTTCTTTCTTTCTTTCTTTCTTTCTTTTTTTTCGCTTAGTTGGTAATGAGCTTTTAAAGTGTTGCAAATTTAAGCAATGTTTCCAAGTATGCTAGAACATCTAGATTTGCTATAACCCAGCTCATTTTCTATCAACTTGGCAGGGTGTGTCCTTGTTAAAAACTCAATATGCAAAATTACTAAAATTACTACGATCCACTCATATTTAGTGTAAGCTTTTTAGAGGGATAGACTTCTGTGTGAAATTCATAGTTTAAAAACTCCAATGAACTCTGAACTGTTGAATATCTAACTTAGCAATTCTCATTTAATACTTCATAATAGGCAGGATTGCATAGTGGTGAAGATTATTAGTGCTGAAGCCAGACTGCCTGCGTTTAAATCCAGGCTCTGTCTGTTAGTTTCTGTGAATTTGGGAAAATGCTTAATCTCACCGTGCCTTAGTTTCTTTCTCTGTAAATGGGGATAATGACAGTAAGTACCTCACCGGGTGTTGTAAAGATTAAGCCATTACATGCAAAGCACTTACAATAGCGCCTGGCACCTTAGTAAGGTATTAATAAGTATCAGCTGCTATTATTATTATAATTGTTGTTACTACTGTTGTTACTACGATGTATTGCACATGAAGAATCCTTCTATAGCACACTGCAGAAGTCTGCAAAGGATAGCGTAGTTTTCCCTCTTACGCTTGAATACTTTTTTTATCTTTCTAGAAGCATTTCTGAGCGAGTCAAATTCTTTTAAAATTAAAAAACAGAAGCACTTTAAAAATCAGAATTATGCCATTTGCTAGTTGTTTTCCTCTGTGTAGACTTCAGTTCAGGATTTCACAGTAATAGTGTAAAAACAGAGAAGGCAGAAGCTTTATGCCCACTGACTGCATGAAGAATGTGGGCAAAAAGGAAAGTTCACTGGAGGATGGACTCATTCATAAAATCTGTGTTTTTTCCCCTTTCCCTTTTGTTATGTTAAGGTTTTTAAAATCATCTTTACTTTATTCACATGAAAAAAAATCAGAACTACCTTCAACATGTAATTTTGACCTTGTAAAAATGGTACTGGACAAACATGTCATCTTGTAATTAACATGCTGTTATTATTCTATTGTTATATGGGATAAGGATTTGATGAAGTTTAAATGAGTGATGTATATATATTTTAGATTTTACTTAATCTAAAAAATATGAAATGAAAAAAATATTCCAAGCATAACCTTAGATGCAAAAAAATAGGATTCTTAGGATGCAGAATGGCCACCGGTCAAGGAGGGAAAGGGCCCACTGTAGCACCACTTTGACAAATATGGGAAAGCTGCTGCCTTCTGAGCAGTCAACATGCAGGGGAACCACATGGCAGGTAGTAATCAGGTATGCTGGCTCATGTTGTAGATGTCAAGAAGTGAACCAAAAAGACAAAAAAGTACGTCATGCATAGCCACCAAATTTTAAAATAGCAGGCATGGTATTCAATTAGGAAAGAACCAGAAGATTAGAGAGTGGGAGGGGAGAGAATGCAAAACAAACTAGATATTGCACCTTTTCGCGCCCATCCCCTCATGGCACTAAGAGTAAATCAGTTAGAAATATCAGAAACTATAAACATAAAACTTGAGCTGCCTAATTGCAGCCTAATGACAGTTTAGCAACGGACTTTAAAGATTACTTAATAGATCACGTCTCTCTTTTTTATTTTCTTTTTTGCTGGCATTTGGCTTTTTGGAGGGAATTTCCGTTTCTTATAGGCAATCATTTGTATGCTCTGAAATTTGATATGCAAAAGTGGTTGATCCAGAAAAATAGTTTGAATCTTTACAGAAGCCCCTTTTTAGTGATGTGTAGAAGGTAATTAAGATGTTTGTGGATAGTGGGGCAAGGCCCACATAGCATTGATCATTGCATTACTTTGTAACTTTATTTCCCTGGCAGCCAGTATGCATATATACTCCCATCCTCACAAGAGTACATAGTCAAGTCCAGCTCTTATTTAATGCATGCCATTTAGGAGGAACCTAGGCCTCATTAATTCATAATCTACCAGTTTAGAATATGTGATAATTAATGCAGAAGCTGGGCTAAAGTTTTCCTTTGATTAGCAAAACCTTTTCCCTTAGACTATTGGAAATTAACAGTGTAAAAATATTTCATAGGGATGTATAGAATGAGAAAACAAACTACAATGTCTTCGAGTTCCCTAGAGTACTTTGGAATCACCTTTCATTTGCAAATAATTAATATGCTAATTAGAAAACTTCTCTATTGATTGAATTGCTTCTCTAGTGACTTGTTTGATAACAGTCTGAATGACTTAACTGTGTTATCTGGTTTTGAGATACTGATTTTATTATACTATTTACAGACTAACAAATAAGTAAATATTAGGCAGATTTAAAAGCAATATAATTAAAGTTTTAGAATTCAGACTTAGCATACATTTGTTCTGGTATTCTTGATTAATTCTAATCAGTGCAACAATACTGTAATGCTATCTAGGCTTACAAATTAAACCAAGCACACTCATTTTTTGGTATGCAGAGCCTTAACTTGGGCATTGAAAGCACAGTAAGTATTCAATAAAGCAACATTATTAATATACTTTAACCATTTATCATAGTAAGAGAATGTTTTAAAATCTGGTAGGAAATTGTTTCTTCAAATAAATGGTGTTGCATATAAATGCTGTAGCATGGTATTTTGCATGCTGCTGCTCACAAA